GCTAGACGCCAAACACCAGGCGCTGGTCGCCAAGCATCGGGCGCTCCGCCGCCTCCAGGCGCTAGTCGCCAAATACCGACCCCGCAGGGCGCTGGCCGCCAGGAACCAGACATCTTTCTAGAAGAAGACACCTTCTTGTCGACTAAGAGGACTCATCCAGGAACGCCAGAGATCCTCGAGGGTATTGAAGATTTCCTGGACTTCCCAGACCTTCTCTCTCCATTACCAGCGAATCCGAGGAAAGAGGCCGCAACTCAGACCGAGCTACGCCAAAAGGAAGCAGCCACGCAGACCAAAAGAAGAGGAGGAAAAAATTGTAATAACCAGAATAAAAAATGTAAAAAATGTAATAAAAAAATAAATAAAAATATTACAAAAAAGAATCTTTAAAACGCCGCAAAAACTCAACTCATTGCGCCAAATTGGTGACCCCGACGCAGGCGTAAAAAAGATTACAAAATGGAAGAAGGCAACGAGAGAGTCATCATAAATGAAGAAGGGCAAGTCATAAATAGAGTTTCCGTCAGGATCCCCGCTTTCTGGAATGAAGAGCCAGAACTATGGTTTGCCCAACTTGAAGGACAATTCACACTAAGCGGAATTACTGCGGACTCAACGAAATATGCCTGCACCCTTTCGCAATTGGATTCTCGACAAATAAAAGAGATAAAAGATATTATTACACAACCACCGGCAACAAACAAATATGAAGCAGTTAAGAAAGCACTGATACAGAGATTGTCAATCTCTCAGGAACAAAGAACCCGACAGCTGCTCGAACTAGAAGAGATAGGAGACAGAAAGCCGTCACAATTTCTTCGACACCTTCGAACACTTGCTGGAAATAATGTTCCAGATACCCTTCTACGAACACTATGGCTTGGAAGACTTCCGAATCAAATGCAGATGGTCCTCGCTACACGACTAGAAGATCCGCTGAATAATGTTGCAGAACAAGCAGACCGGATCCATGAAATGTCTAGCAAAACCCTTGTAGTTGCTGCTACCTCGACAACTCCAAAAAAAACCTTGGAACAGCAGGTACAAGAATTGACAAAACAATTAGCAAATTTAACCACGCATCTCTCAAGAAGTAGAGAAAGAAAAGGTGGTAGATGGAGAAATCAGAGTAGGAGCAGAAGTTCCTCCAGGAAAAGAGAATTCAATGAAAAATACTGCTTCTATCATAATCGATTC